AGGAGAGGAGAGGAGAGGAGAGGAGAGGAGAGAAAAAATATAAAAAAAAGATGACTATAAATGTATTTCTATTTCTAATAGAAAAAAAATAAATATATATAAACTTCCAAAGCAGCTTATCACTCAATACTATTTTGCCAAGAATAATACAAAACGTACACACTGCTCTGAATAAAATTTATTTGAAGCCACTTTTTCTATAAATTTGCTCTGCATTTCTGATGTTAGCTTTCAGACCACTGAAATAATTTCAAGAAGTTGCTTTCCTCCCCTCAAAGCTGTCCTATGCAATCTGAGAATATTCCAAAAGTAAAACAACAATAGGAACTATTTCATCCTGATAAGAGTTTTTGAGAAAGATGCCCTTTCACAGAAGCATGCTCTACTCACAGAGCACAAGCAAGCTTGTAACAATTTACAAAAATACACTGATTCTATTCAAAGTCAGAAGGGCTACTCCTGGGCTACTTTACTTTTTGTATCTCTAAACACCATCTTGTTTTCTTAGACTGCTATATAATGCAAATGTATGTGTGTGTATGTGTGAATTTGAATTAGAAATAGTGTTATCAAGCTGAACATGCTCCTCCACTGAGCCAGCAATTCACACAAACAGCCATGAACAGACAACGACTTCTTGGTTTTAAGTAATTTGGGCTAGGTTGGAACTTGGTGCACACAAGGCAGCCAGCCAGCCCTGCAAGGCCAGCCCCAGGTCCATTCAAAACGTCCTTTCTTCACTTCAACAATGTAATTAAAGTATTAGAAGCACAGAATGCCTCATTTTTAATTTTTTTCCCCGGTATTTTCTTCCAAAACCCTTTTGCTTTCTCTGCTGTAGGGTATTTCAGAGGCCCCATAATGTGATGTAAGGTGTTTAATAGTCCCTTGGTTTCTTTGCTACTGGAAAATGGAAGACGTATTCATTCTAACAGGGCGTAGAGGAACTTAAACCTGAAAGACACAGCGAACGTCTGAAAGAGAGGGTGAAGAACCAGGGAGGAGAGGACGTGTCTTCCTCCCCGTACAGCGATTTGCCCAGCCTGCGTGCAGCCGGCGTTGCACCCCTCGAGCAGGACAGACACCTGTAAGAGCCGGGGGACGAGGTGAGACGGGGCTGCAAAGGCTGGGCGGCGGGGAGCGGAGCCGAGAGGGAACGGGAGCGGTGGGAGGGCCGCGGCAGGCGGAGCGAAGGAGGGGCCAGGCCGTGCAGGGAGCTGACGGAGGGAGCCTGCGGCGCCCGAGCACGGAGCGCCGAAGGGGCGAGGAGGAGGCTGCCGGCCGGGGGCAGCGGGGAAAAGGGAGGGGCAAACCCGGGCGCCGCTCAGCGGTACGAGCGGCGGTGGGGCGGGGAGCGGCCGGGGGAGCGTGGCGGGCAGCGGGGAACGAGGCGCCGTCCCCGCCCGCCCTCCCGCTGCCCCTCGGAAGACAGCAGTCGCTCAGCTCGCTCTCCCCTCCGTAGGACCGTCCCGGCGGCGATCGGCGCACGGCCGGGGCTCTTCGTAACTCAGCGCCATGTGAGCGTGAGCTCCGTCCGGGCCGCGAGGAGCCGCGCCGGAGGTTTGGCGGCGTCCAGCGCTGCTCGGGGCAGCATGACCGAGGTGAAGGCCAAGGAGCCCCGAGCGCCTTCGTCCGCCCGAGACGGGGCGGTGCTGCTGCAGGCTCCCCCCAGCCGCGGAGAAGCGGAGGGCATCGACGTCGCCCTGGACGGGCTGCTCTACCCCAGAAGCAGCGACGAAGAGGAAGAGGGCGAGGAGAAGGAGGAAAAGCCACAGCAGCGGGAGGAGGAGGAGGAGGACCGGGAGGACCGGGACTGCCCCTCGTACCGGCCGGGCGGCGGCTCGCTTTCCAAGGACTGTCTGGACAGCGTCCTGGACACCTTCCTGGCTCCCGCGGCTCATGCCACGCCCTGGTCCCTGTTCGGGCCGGAGGTGCCAGAGGTGCCCGTCGCCCCTATGAGCCGCGGACCTGAGCAGAAGGCTGTGGACGCCGCCCCGGCGGCTCCCGGCCCCTCGCAGCCGAGACCCGGGGCTCAGCTGTGGCCGGGCGCCGACACTCTGAGCGTCGCCGTGAAAGCGCGTCCAGGAGCCGAGGGCCCCAGCGAGGGTAGAGCCCCGGGGCTGCCCAGCGCCGAGGAGCGCGGCTTCCCGGAGCGGGACGCGGGGCCCGGAGAAGGCGGCCTAGCGCCCGCCGCGACCGCTTCCCCGGTGGCTGTGGAGCCGGGCGCGGGGCAGGACTACCTGCACGTGCCCATCCTGCCGCTCAACTCTGCCTTCCTGGCCTCGCGCACGCGGCAGCTGCTGGACGTGGAGGCGACGTACGAGGGCAGCGCCTTCGGACCGCGCTCCTCGCCCTCCGCCCCCGCCGCGGACTTGGCGGAGTACGGCTACCCGCCGCCCGACGGCAAGGAGGGTCCCTTCGCTTACGGCGACTTCCAGAGCGCGTTGAAGATCAAGGAGGAGGGCGTCGGTCTGCCCGCCGCCCCCCCTTCGTTCCTGGGCGCCAAGGTTGCCCCCGCCGACTTCGCACAGCCTCCGCGTGCCGCGCAGGAGCCCTCGTTGGAGTGCGTCCTCTACAAGGCCGAGCCGCCCCTCCTGCCCGGCGCGTACGGACCGCCGGCGGCCCCCGACAGCCTGCCGTCCACCTCGGCCGCGCCGCCCGGCCTCTACTCGCCGCTCGGCCTCAACGGGCACCACCAGGCGCTGGGCTTCCCCGCGGCCGTGCTGAAGGAGGGCCTGCCCCAGCTGTGCCCGCCCTACTTGGGCTACGTGCGGTAAGGGCTGAGCTCCGCGGTTCTCCTCGGCGAAGCTGGGCTATAGCGGAGGTGGTCCCGTGGGGCGCTGGAAGTCAGGCAGGTGCCGAGGGACGTCAAGACGGCGTTTCGCTACCTCGGTTCTGTGTTTAGACGGTAGTTGGGGCTGTATTTCTCTTTTCTCCTGTGTTTTGATGCATGCTGGGGGATGCCAGCGCTGATAGGAAGCCAGCGGGGGTATTATTTCTTTAATTTGCAGCTGATGCTCTTGTGGGCACAGTTACAATCTGAGAAAAGCAGCAATTCTGTTATGGTTGCTCACTGCGATGTCTTGAGAAATAACTAGCTGCAAAGAAGGGGGGAACGGCATCAGTGTTGCTGATGTCTGAACTGGCAGATGGACAGTGTTGGTAAATATTCTTCAGATTAGGAGCTCTGATTTGAGAAAAAGTAGTCAATTTCACATAAAAAGTGGAACATTTTGTATGTGCATATGGATTTGCTAGAATGAAATGGCTTACTGTATGCAAGGCATTATGCATTACCTAGAAATACTTTTAAAAATAAGTATGTGCAGTGCTACTGTTTCAGTGGAGATATCTGGATTTTATCTTAACGATTAGCTAGACTGTTTTTATTTGTTTGTTTTCCTTGACAAGGTACACAGCAATACTTTTCACTTTTGGCTTTTCACTTTTGGCTTTTCACTTTTGGCTTTT